TAGCAGACATTTTCTTTCCCTAGATATGTCAATGCCTTGAAGACTATATCAGTGAAGCAGAGAACCTACCGCCCCAAACTCTTAAGTAACTCTGGCTTAACAGGTATTTAATTGAGAGCAAGAAATGGGTTAAGTTATGAATATATGAGCTGGAGACATAACACTCCCCTCGAAAGTCATATGCACTCGTTTAAGAGGTATTTACGTTCTTCCAATTTTTTTTTTTTTTTTTGTTATTCATTAATTCAGTATTATTAAAGAGTTCATTAAACAGTTTTTAAGAATTCGGGATTTTTGCAAAGATAATTAGGACGCTAATGTCTATAACATGGATTAGTAATATATTTAAATGCTGATTTTTAATAAGCAACTATGCAATGCAACTTGTTAGTAAGATAACCCAGTTTATGACTTTATATAGAAATTATTTTTAATGATGAGAAAAATTATTAAAGTGTATAAAGTGAGCCCTTGCCTTTTAAGCCAGAGTTCATAAATTCTGTACTATAACCATTCATCAAAACTCTTCTAATATCAATACCATTAGATATGATAATGCCACTATTCTTACTTCCTAGGATTCTTCCCTTTCTTTTCTTTTTTCTCTTCTCCTCTAAGAATGATTGCCCAGGTCCTCAATGGTGATGATCGATTTTTCGAGGTCATTCCTGCACAGTTTATCAGTGTCTTTGATCGATTATCAGGGCATTCGTGCACAATTCGGCAGAGCAGCAGATGAATATTTTAAGATACTCCTCTAAATTCAAAGCCGATTTTATTCTATCTTCTTTTAACTTGCAGACTAACGTGCTCCATAATCAATCATTTCAGTTACCGAACCACAATGATGAGAAGACACGAAAGATTGAACTGGAAAACCATTCGCTTGAAACAGCTAAACATCTCCCATGCTGTTATTTATATACAGTAAATATTCTTACTTCATCAATATAAGAGTAACTTGCATTATGCGTTCCTCTTTAGTGTAAATTGTGTTTTAACATAATTAGTGTAAATTATACATCATCAAATGAAGAGCCTGAACGAAAATAACATCAGGCTTCTTTCCATCGCGTGAGATGCATTCATAAAAGCATCTGAACGAGAACAGTGGAATTTCTATGTTTCGTACTGTGGGTAACTTGTCTCATGCGTAACAGAAGGGCTCTCAGCAGATTATAGATGCAGAGTTACTAAGCTTCTATTCATAAACTTTCTCGTTAACGAAGTTTCCTTCGTTTAAGTATCATGCGTTTAGTGTCACATGCGTCGTGAGAAATGAATTACGCAATCCCTAATCACGTAAACATTCAGCTGAATTTTAATTTGCAGTGTTGTAAATTAAAACTTTCTTGCATCAGTTGCATTCTTTAGAAATATTATGCATTGCTCATGGGAAGCGCATTATGCCACAGAAATATAAATTTCAAACATTTTTGCAAATAAGCCAAAATTTTACGAGTTCTAAATTAGAATTTAACGAAAGACATTTTAGAAATGTTCCATGATTATCACATTTATTTCCCAGTATAATGTATTGAAAATAAAACATCTTTCATGATAACTTCCACTCTAATAAAAAATTAATGAAATTTCATTTTATTATTCATTGAGATAAGTTCTTACACTAAAATGAATATAATATAAATGTCTTGAAGCGAAAATTCGCTAATCAAGTTCTGTGCTCCTTTTTCAGCAAATAAATTTTGAACGTTGGAATTTTCTGACTATAGCTGTCTTTTTTTCGACGGGTTACACTGCATTATGTTACGTGCGTGTTAAAATATATTATAATATCATATCATCAAAGATTATTGAAATCAACTGTTAATAAACAAAAGAATTCTTATCGAAATCATTAGGCACAATGCAATACCGCAAAAATTAGATTTATTTAGATCTGAATGCATATTTCTTACCAGCTTAGCAAATACCTCTTTTAAAAATTATACAAAATTCTAAGAAAATTAAAGAGAAGAAAATATTTATAAAGCTAAAGAGATATCTACAAAGAGGTATCAGCATCAAGAAAATAAATACGTATATAAGTTATGCAGCGGGAAATGATTGACTTAATTTACGGTGGCTTTATTTTTTAAATTTACAAACATGATGTGACACTCAACACAATAAGGATGAGAAAAGCAGCTTAAATTTTACTTTCAAGTTCTTGTGTGATTTTGATCGCATCAAGATGGCATCAGAATGGATACGAATGGCATCAAGATAATAATATAATTATTGTTATGCTCGCTTTAGCAAATAACTTTGAACGTTAGAAATTTGTGTCAATACCTTGCTCTTTAATTTTTTGGAGGTAAGTTACGTTACATTTCCTTATGTTATTAGAATAATTTTTCATCCATGGTCTAGCAAATGTCCTTCCATGAGAAATAGTACTTCTTACATAACATCAGCGTCAATTTAACAGGTATTATCATTGGATGCGATATAATAATTTAAATTTATTGTTCGAATTAAAATTATACATTGCTTAAATAACTGAGTTATTTAAAAACAGTCGTAAAAATTTGTATTTTTATTTCAGATTTATAAATTCCTCTAATTTTATATAATTGATCTGATTTTAGTGTATGAAACTGATAATTTATATAACATGTTTCCATCGCTGTATTGTTCCTAGGCACAAAATAATAGCTTGTGTACAGCCTAATAAGAAGTTATCTTGCTGCCTATCCGGCAATAACAATGTTAGGTTTGAAAATGTATAAGTTAGTGAGCAGGGATGTTTTCTCGTAAATGCATGTAAATGAAAATACAGGATATACAAGTAAATTCCTTTCCCGCATATAAAATGTCTTATTTTAACCCTCTTTTGTATTCCAATGGAAGGCGGATATTGTATACCTCAAAATAAAAAGTAATAAGAAGTAAATAAGAAATAAACTGGTATTACCTACAGAAATTATTCAATAACGAGCTAAATTTCACCATTTCATGAAACATTTTATACATGAAGTGTGTAAAGGCCTTGAAGAACTCTTTACAGTTTCTGCAAGTGAAAAATCTAGACTCAAATGATTCTAATAAATATTAAAATTTAAAGTGAAATTCATAAGAATTAATGGCTGTACAATAGGAAACGGTTTTCCAGAACAGAAAGCATTTGGTTGAGCTATTCGGATGAAACTAAAAAGTTGCTTTTAAATCGTAATTTGCTCAGTTTTGGATCTCACTGTAAAATTTTACTTCAATAACCACTTTTTGTTTATTTTGGTGTTAGCTGATATTGCGAGCATTTTATTTTGACGACGCATGCAGGCTACGTTCTACATGCAAATACTATCACCCAGTTCATTTCCATAATCATACTAATAGGACTTGAATAATTTTATTCATATGTAAACATTCATAAATGAATCCAGCATTAACCATTTTATAACAATGCTTAAAATTATCTCCAAAGAGAATAAATTTTAAACTGTAGCAAAAACATACAAATAATAACATATATTTAATTAAAATTAGTATAGGAAGAAATTATCACGAAGACTAGTTATCAGAATAAGATTTTACACAACTTTATCTGTGGAAGCCAGAAAACTCAGAACAGAGTCGTCGAGCTTTAGATATTTTCACTTTTGATGTTAAACCAAAATAGTAAATAATGACTTTTTTTATACCTCAAAAGAAAATATGCAAATCTGAACTTAAGTGCTAATTTTCCAATTAAGCCATATTTCACCAAACGCACTCTTTATAATTAAGAGAAAAATGAAAATTTATTCATAATTATTTCATTACATGACCATTTGAAGAATGCATCTTTTTAACTAAAGTTAGAAAAATAACTCAGCGTATTGAATATTAGTGAAAACTAGGCTCAAATATAAAATAGCACAAACTGGATGTTTTAAGTTGATTATAACACCTCTTAAGTCAGAGCTAAACTTCGGGAATATGTGTGATGTTCTGTCCTCGCTCTGGGTTGCTAAGTTGATTATCTAAAGTAAGAGAAATTGTTAGTTGCTGTTGGCTGTTAAATAGGCAAATGTCTTAACAGTTTTAGTAAATAAAACCGTATCTTCATTTCTTATTGATGTTTTATATTACTTATAAGGATTTTAGTGATTCTCAGAACCAAACAAATACCACTCTTTGATGCATCGATGTGAAAAAGCAAAAATATATCTGTCAACAGCCAACGAACAAGAGCTCTTAAAAGTTTTTTCTTTCTAAAAATACCTAGAAGGTAACAGTTCAATTTTCACAAAACTTAGAGCTTCAAGACAGTTAAATATTTACATCGCAAAAATAATTTAAACTGATGTTTGAAACACTTTTCCTTCTTTGTCGGCTAAATCAAAGTGAAAGCATGACTTCGACGGCAGTGACAAAACTGTACTGAAATACAACAAAACATCACTAAGCATCAAGTTTTCATTTAATATTTATGCTAGTTTCTATGTTTACTTCCATTATTTTACAATTATTACTCTGAGAATTAGTTTCTCTCTTAACTTTTATAAATATAGTTTGATGCGTTAAATTTATGGATTAAAGTTATTATTTTCCTATATGTTTTTCTCACTAGACAATAAATATTCTTAGCATAGTTTATTTAAGATGTTGGAGCTTTCAATAACATTAAATAAATGCCCTCTGGCGCTATCTTTAGGATTCCAGGGATGCTCAAGCCTTTTAGTAGTTCATCGCAGTTGTGTGCCTGTATACAGTGCGTGTATGAATGCACACTGCATGTGAATAATTTGAGGAGTCATGCAGTGAGTAGCCGCAGAATAACTTATTATTATACAAGGAGAAAACTGCTTTGCATCTCGAAATGCACTGAACCTTTCATTTTATATCAATCCACATAGATGCTGGCTTTTGCAAAATATTAATACCATTTGTTGGAAAGTGATTAGATCATTTAACTTTATTTTGTTTCAATTGGAAAGTTAGAAATAACATTTTTACAGTGACAGCATTTAAATTATTACACTGCGTTTCAAAATTTAAACACAATATTGTCTTACCGTCTCTTGTTGCAGATAATTTTTCTCCAGTCTCTCCACAGTCAGGTGCATTAGCCACTGTAATAAAGGATTGTATATTTAGATTCGTCTCGAAAACAAATGCATCAACCACATTAAAAAGTATCTTAATTTTCAATAATTGCTCATACAAATAAAAAAGGATTCTAATTATGTTAGTTCTATGTTTATAAGTATCATAAATTGTAAAAAATATTGAAAAGGATTACGACATTTGACACCTAGTAAACTTTCTAATATTTTATATATATATTATGTATATTTTATATACAGAAATTTCAATAGCATTGTAAACGATATAGGCAATAAAATAATCGAATAAAATTTGCAAAGATTTGTTTCATTTTTAAAACCTAGTGCTAAAATATATAAACTGCTGAGGGTAATAGTAAAATATATAAACTGCTGAGGGTAATAGTAAAATATATAAACTGCTGAGGTATATATCAATGTCTTCAATAATGAAAGCACAGTAACACTCCAGTTATCCCGACACCAGATATCCGAAGTCCAGGTAACCGGAATGGTCCTTCTTTCCAGGCCAAGTAAAATTAAACTTGTTATATTTTATTCTTATCTGAAAATTTTACGAGTGAAAAGAAAACGCTTTCTTTTACTGAAATTCTCTTACACAAAATAATTCTAAGTAAATTTTGTTCGAAAATTTTCTTAGATGCACAGGTTGATTGGAGTTTTTCCGCTCAAACTTTGATGGGACTTTTCGGGAACTCAAACTTTACCATTGATGAACGAAGATCGCAGATTTCACCTACAGGTACTAGATGGCGCTGTGGAGCCAGCATGATCATACGTTTATTTTTCTCATTGCGTCATTCGGAACGGAGACTCCGTACGTGAAAGATAGACCGGCGTGCTAATGCTAAGATGGCTTTTGTGGATCTCCGCTGCCAATGGAAACGGGAAGAGTGCAGTTAAGATGGCATCGTGAATTGTTCTCTGAAAGACGTTTGCTGAACCATTAAACGTTTGCACTAATAACCGTGTGAAATTGGAGCAGCATTCCATGTTAACATATAATTACTGTAAAATTGGTGTAAATACAAATGTTGCTGACATTTTCTGCTTTTTATTTGCGTACCAACAACAAACAGTCACCCGTTTAATGAACATACGAATAATCATATAGATATATAGTTTTCGCCTATTTACGAGCAAATTTGGTTTCAGTTGTACCTTTCTCCCATCAAAGAGCGTGTCTCTGAATTTCGAAATGAGAGAAAAATGTTAAAGACAACAAATTTAAAAGCAAATGGCCTTCCTTTACGAATAGAAATCGCTATTAATGCAGTCATTTAAAGGTAAATGGTAATGACACTGTCGGCTTAATTTCATTGAAATACTAAAACCAATCATATTGTTTACAGCATCTATATATTTCTACTTTCTTACTTTACTCAGCATATTTTAACTGATATTTCGTTAAACAGATATGTCTCCAACGTTAACTGAAGTTAGCGCTGATAGTTATTTTTCGAGTTTGGGAAAAATACTTGTAAAAAAAGTAAGCCTCATCATTATTTCTCTTGACTTGCTTATAATAGAAACAGGGTAAAGACTATCTGATGAAATGTTTGACATTTCAAACTCACAAAAAACTTCGGGCTATATCCATCTAGACATACGGACTATTCTGTTAAAAACACAAGAATTATTCTTCTGTAAGTTATATATTTAAAATGTTCGTTAAGGTTACACTTTAGAAGTTATTCAGCCATAAAATATTTCATTATTTTGAGTATGCTCTTGTGTTGTAAATAGTTAGTACATCAGTTAGCAAACTGGAAAATCCGGGGTTCGAATCCTGGAATAATTTTAATTTTTCCTGCTCCAGAAAGACAAATAGTTTCTTCAACTCTTCTGTTAGATATATGTTATAGATAACAGAATAATACACTTCTATTAAAGGTACATTTTGGGTACCAAATGATGGAAAAAATAAAATTCTCTAAATCTATTTAGACGTTTGATCAGACCGCTGACTGCAGATTTAAAAACAAAATGATTACTGTTAAACTAAGGTTTTACATCTATGCTGTTTTAAATACAGTAATTTCTTTTTAAGAATGCATACTTTGCAGGCTAAATTTTAAAAATATGAACACACTGAATAGAAGTAAGCGATCAGAAAAATAGAGTTTCATACTGAAAAAAAATAAATCGTTGATAATGATGCCTTTCAAAGATTTTAGTAATTATTTTTACAGTTAAAATTATTATAGAAAAAACTCAGATGCATACTTTGAGCCTTTTCATAATTGGTTGCCTGATTTAAGATCATTGTTTTGTTGTTTTGAAAAACGTTCGGTCTTTTAAAAACTCTCATCTGGCTTTTTCGAATTCTGTCAGCTGGCTTACAACTAACTTTCTGGTTAAAGGAAGGAAGAGGGTAAAAACGAAACTTGCATTTAGAGGGAGGAAAAAAAAACTTTCAGCTAATTAAAAAAATGCCTTTTTTTAGTAAATGATATTTTTTAAGCTTGGTTGGATATTATAAGCATCGGGCAGCAGCATATAATATGCACAGCTATTAATAATTAATTGAAGATTATACGTTTTTATCCTTAATAATAGGTCAATATTTAAACTAATGCAATAGTAAAAGAAGAATTTCAAAACATTTTCAAAATTCATTAAAATCGTTTTTTGACCGAAACGTTGGATACGACTGTTTTGTGCATGACAAATTGCAGATATAAAATTTTGAGTTAACATTTTCAGAGGACTAATTTGATAATAGGCTTTAATTATTATTTCGTAATTTTACAACATTAAACGTATCTTAAAACGAAGTGGCAGCGATAGAAAAATAGAAACAATTAAATGGTCAAAATAAAAAGTTTACTTTTCGATTACATTTCTAAATATATATAATTCTTCCTAAAATTCAAGCCAACATTTCATCTTCTTTTCGGAACTAAATATTTTTTAGAATCATTGATGATTATTTACTTGCTGTATTTACCCCTGATAATTTTGTCATCCTTGTATAAGCATAAATTATTTCACGAAATAATCCTAACATCTTAATTTTTTCTAAAATTTTCATTTTCAGCTTCCTGGAGTTTTTTCTCCTAATGATTCGTTGCAATTAAATGTTTGGTTACTAAGACGTTGAGTTACTGAAGTTCGATTAGTATTTCTTGTAAGATAACTTGTAATTATACATTGTTCAAACTTCGGAATTCTACAACATCATTTAAGATCTACAAAACATTCTTATACAATAACGAAATAACATTATTTTGATAACGAAAGCATAGGACAAGAGCATATCAGAAACATTTATGCAAGAGTTTAAGAAATAATCGCCTTTCCCCGCCCGGATTCTTGGCGTGTAAGTGGTTAAACACAACAGGTTAGTAAGTAGAAGATTTGTAGTTCGAACCCCGGAGAGGGCACAATTGATGTGTCCTGTTTTATTAATTGAAAACACCTAGTAGTCTGTTCAAGGGTGTATTTACGGCGTTAATATTATAACTAATATAGTATCAACTAAGAAAGGTAGTTTTATTTGTGAAAGGAAATGCGCGTTGTATGAAACGGCGTTTTATGAAATAACTAAGGCATAGCACAAACTGTACATTTTTAAAAGTTTGCCAGTGCACTAAACATGCGGCTCAATAAATGAAATAATAAGCAAGATATTGGGAGATTTTTATTTTATTTGCCGCAATTATTTCAAAAAGTTAATCCTCAGACTTATTTCATAAAATTGCTCTGAAATTAATTATATATCGATATAATCTCGTCAAACGAGAGTTTGTTTTGCAACAACCAGTTGCGCAGAGTTTGTTTACATTTTTTTAATCATAAAAGATTATTTTACATTTTTTCCCTTTCCTAAAAATTAACGAAAATAGGTTTGTTTACATTTTTTGATCACAAAAGATTACTTTACAACATTTCTTCCCTTTCCTAAAAATTAACGAAAATAGGTTTGTTTCTTTTCTTTTGCAATAATTCTCTCTCTTTTCTTCTATAATAAGCAAAATGTCTTTTCGTTCATATTTAAATGTTTTCAGAATTTATAAAATTTGTAACATATACAAGAGAAAGTATTAAAACATATTTAATTTAAACCTTTTTTACCAAGCCTTTATGCAATTATTCGGAATGCTTTTAAGAATATATTTGAATTTCAGGTTTTATATTAGTAGTAATTGTACAGAAGAATTCAATCAGTATGCATAATTTTGTATTTCACAAAAACCCTTTCTTTAAATAAATAATATAATTATTGATTATCAGATGACCTATTTTGCTGAATAAAATATAAACACAATGCAGTGTAGTATAATAAATGTATTTAAAACAATATTTTTAATGCGTCTTCACTTCCTTTCCAGCTTCCAAGTTGCAAATTGATGCAATCGCTATTAAATTTCAAGCACGCAATTCAAAAAGCTCGAAGAAATGTTTAAAAGTTAATTTCGTTTTCCTTCCCTTATATTTCTGAAGTACCTTAAACGCTTAAACGCCAGATTTCAGCGGAATTTGCAAGTAAAATATAGCAAAATAAAAACGAAAAAGTCTAAAAGTAATTTGCACAGCTAGGTAGCTTAAAATAAGCACAAATTAAAATATATTTATGTGTCTCACATTTTAGAGGAATTGCTAAAAATTAGTAAAATAGGTAAAGAACTTTATTTGAAGACATAGATTAAGGAGCCATAACTGAAAATACTCGTTTATTAAATTTTAAAAGTAAAATGAAAATGCACTTGGAATCAAGTTGCTCTAAGATTTATACCACCACAGATAAATTAGTTTCAGAAGCAATATTTCTCTTATTTCTTAAATACGCCTTATACGATATTTAGCGTTTCGGATCACTTTAGTTTTCAAATTTAAAGTATAGAATTAAAAAAAACTCTCAAAATCAATGGTGTATTGAGAATACGGCAAAGCACACTAGGGCTATCTGCCTAAGGGGAGGGATGCCTTTCGTGGAGGACTTTCTAAGGGAAACTGGCTCGTATACACGTTACACATGGGGAAAACCACGAAAACGCCCATGC